GGGGGGCGGTATCCCCCCCCCCAGTTTTTTGGGCAGTCGGGCAATATTCGATCCACAGTCGGGCAATTTTGGTTAGTTATAAAAATAAATGGGACAAATTCTGTCAATTTTGTCGAAAATGTTGTTAATTTTGTGGGAAATGTATTTTGTTTTTTTTTGGGGGGGGTTCGCCAAAATAATATTTCCGGGAAAAAATTTTTGGTACTACTCGGGCACAATCACATTTCCTTCCGGTACGCCCATGTTACTGCATATATATCGGCGGCGAATTTGCTTAAATAACTAAAAAAGAGTTAATAAACCTGTTTTTACAAATATGTGTGCATAAATAAACTCAATTCCATGTATGTTTAAAGGAAATTTGACCTAATTTTAACGAAAAAATAAATATTACTAACTTCTAGGCTGTTGCAAACAAATAAATATCGCGAAGACAAGTTTTCCCGCGCTTTTATAATTTTAAACAAAACTGGTAGAAAAAACTGTATTAATGTTCCAAATTCTTTTCATTATTCTGCCATATCGTTTGTCGTATGTTTGAAATTGGCAAAATATCTGAAAAGGGTTGAAAAACCATGAAAAAAGCCAACTATTCGCAACTGTCCAATAGGTTCCTGTCCAATATCGTAAAATATTGGATCGGCACGTGACCCTCTCAACGATTACTGAATGGTTAAGTGCGCGTGAGTGTATAATAAAGTTGTGTGTGTGTCACACAAAATTCAAAATTTGAAAAATATACAACAATTAGTATAATTAGTAAGTAATTAGAAAACGCAATGTTCCTTTGTTAGTTTCTTGTATATTGTTTTCTGCTATAATAATCTTCAAAATCTTGAACAGTCAGTGTAGGTAGTACAAACAATGAGAAAGTTGTGGATTGATATGGATACAACTACCAGAAAAATACAAGAACTTAGAACTTTCGAGCAAAGGCCAAATTTCGTCAGGAAGTTAGTAGTGGGGGTGTGGAATATTATGTGAGCTTTTATACTTGTGAATATAAAAGCGATCATCTGACAAAAAATAATCCAGTCAGATGGGTTTAGTCAAAACAAAGTGTAAACAAAACAATTATACAGAATATTTTAATTAATCTAAATATACAGAAAACTACTACAAATACAAAAATATATGAAACAAGAATGAAATGAGGTGAAACTTTAAAGTCAATGTCTGCTTTTGACGGGCAAAGACAGATATAACTGAAAACAGGAAAAACGTTCATTAATAATGCCACAGGGCCGGGTGCATGGATGGTAAGCAAGCACGCATTTGCACTTTGTTTCGCTAAATCCATCTGATTGGGGTTTTTTGTAGCTTTATATTAACTAGTATAATAGCCCGTATAATTTTCCCGTCCCCCAAAGGGCCTTTGCTTGAAACATTGAATTTCTCCTTGTATTTTTCAGGTAGTTGCATCCTTATATCACAGATTGTTGAAATTTATACCCCAAAATTGTCACTACCACCAAAGAATGGTGGTATATTAAGCATTTTCAAACACTTAAATACACTATGATCTGTGTAATTAAATGTCAAAGTGCATGATATATAGAGTACAAGCATTTGACTTCATCTTACTGAAATAGATTCTTAGTGCAATAATTTATTGTTTAGAAACATCAGTTGATCGACAAAAAGTTGTTGACAAAAACCTTTTATTCGAAATACGTATTCCCAAATGCAGCATTCTCAGAAGCCAGGAAAATCATGTCCAAGTTGCTATGCCAAACTTGCAGGAAAATCATGTCAACAGCAATAGCAATATGAATACGGTATGATCTTCTTTAATCTTATATTAATTTCATGATCTTAATATATTTATTAATATATATCTCAGATCCTTTCTTCTAGATGCACATTTAAACTTGAAAATATGTCAGTTTAAAAGGTTTTTAAATCAAAATCGAAAAATGGAAGCTATCATGCAGTGCAGCATGAACGCTTCACACACATTAGACCCCAGTTGATTTCAGTACAGTTACTACTTTCCTTAATAGTAATTTTCCATTTGAAGATATTGCAAAACATTATGCATTTCTTAAGCCTGTATTCTAATAGCTCACTCAGTGGAGGTTTAATCTGAGTTTCCCTTGAGTGTCAATGCTGTTTCTGAATAGCTGCATAACCCTCCAGCTATTCAAAAACAGCATTGACACTCAAGGGAAGCTCAAATTGAACCTCCACCCCTTGAGTGTGAGCGTGAGTGAGCTTTTAAATACATGCGTTTGAAATCAGTGATGAAAGATTACAGATCATACTAAAAAAGGAAATGGCACCAATTGATGAGCCAGATGAGCAGTGATTCGCCATTTTTAATCCTATATTTTCTGATACCATGGGAGAAATGGATGTTGCTTTCCTTAGTGTTGATATAGTTTTATCCGGGGTCATGTGAGTGTTTCTAAATTTACGGGGTGTGTACTTGCCAATTACCCAGAATAGCCAAATTTATAGTTCCAGTTATCCTCACCAATCCTGTGTTTTATTTATCCTGTACAACCAAATTTAAAGCAAGTATACACTTTTGTCAGATTTTGTCAGTAGTTGACAGCTTTCGCTGATCTTGGACTGTTGATTAAATGTTAATATACAATGACATTTCAGAACTATTGTGAGGATAATAGTATATTTATTTGCTGAACTGCCTATGGGTTAATTCATATCACTAAAATTGTTCATTGCTAACCACTGGAACCCCATATTCAAGTATACAAAACTGTCTACAAATACCTTTTTGTACATAAAACAGAAATTGAAAATCATTGTGAACATTGATAGAAATAGTATGTGTTGTTTTCATATTTTAGGAGAGCATACAGATGGAAAATCGAACTAATGGTGGATTTGTACCAAACTAGGCAAAGTGGCTAGATTTTAAACTTGGCTGTTGGGTGCCAGCATAAGTTTCGGAAAGTACAACTTGCAGGCTCACTAGATGTAGGATGCAACTACCCAATTACAGCTGCAAGGTTCAAAGGTTCCTATTTTTCAGGTAGTTACATGCTGCACCCAAGCCTGCAATTTGGATTTGAAACTGTAAATTGTCACAGAAGTTCTCCCAGTTTCTCTGGCTAAAATACTATCTTTGTTGCAATATTTCTGTTTCTCAGTGTGATCGACCGCCTGCAAAATGTGGAAGCAAATCTTATCGCCCCTCTCCCAAACCTGAAAGCTAATTTTGCATCTCTTAATGGCTGTTGCCACCCAAAATTGCATTGTAATCATTGATAAAAATTATTTATTTCCGTTATTCATGCAGATTTTATTCCCAATTTCATGTCCATGACCCATTCCCACAGTTTCCAATATAGAAGCTGCCACCCAGTGATTTTGACTGCCTCTAGAATAAACAATTGCGGGTCATTACCAGGGGCGTCGGAGCAGCTCTAAAAGTGGGGGGAGGCGCACTTAGCGCCCGCCTTTGGCGGGTGACATTCAAGGGGGTCCGGGGGCATGCCACCCGAAAAAAATTAAAACTAGAGTCTCTGAAATCCATTCCCTGCACTTTAGAAGGAGATTTGCAGAGTTCTAAAGGTAACAAAATGTCATCTTTGTGGTTTATTACTGACCATTGTTAAAAAGTGTGGGGGGGGGAATACATTTAGGCCCCCCAGCTAAAAAGTTCCGACGCCCCTGGTTATTACTCAAAATCATAGCACAATTTTACAAGAGGGTCTAAGTTTCAAAATCTCACATGGAGATGCCCCCAGGGTGAGTGGTACATTCAGCACCACATAGCTTTCAAAACACTTCGTACTGAGAATTCCAGTGGGAACCATCCATCAACATCTTGCATGCTAACACCAAACACCTCTACGCACCTGAGGTGCCAGCAAAAGGTCTTAAACGCGACCCACTGGAGAATCTATGGACGTTTCACAAGAAAAGAACAAGCAAAGGAAACCAGAAGCAAGGGGACTTATATATATATATATATAAATAAATATGCATAATATGTATAATCTATTATATGTATAATCTATTATATGTATAATCTATTTAATCCTAAAAATAGTGTATGTTGCTACGCAGAGTTCCATGCAATTTCCCAATCTTCAGGCAACTGATTTTACAAATTCAGTTCTGTTCGTTGATGCTACTCAACTAACAGTTTTGCTGACGCTTACGTTCGTTATTTGCCTTTAAAGGCAGTTTTTCTTCAGTGCATAGACCGCAGTGCCTTCCCACTGCCGAATATGACTGAACTTGTTTCAAGATTGACCATTTGATTCCGTAATCTTTCCCAGTGGTCTTTAATTTCCACACATATTTGGAAAATTCTTTCTCATATTTATATCTTTTGTGTTTGAATGATTTCGTGTGGTTCCAATATCTCACTTTGAAATCGTTCGCCATCTTTCTGATGTATGGTTTCTCGATCTTCCTTTGTTTTTATGACTGCCTTCATTTGTTTTAATCACTAGGGATTCTGCAATCACACATGTTCCTTGAGCTTTCTATTGGCTCAGCTCTCGCCAGGACATGCTTGTTGTGCCTGCATGAAAGTAGAACTTTTAACATTTTCCATGCAGCTGTAGATGATGGTTTGCAGCTGACTTGTTTGCAGCTGACATGTCGTGCAGCTGACATTTTCCATGCAGCTTTGATGGAATAAGGCAATTTTGACAATCTGACAAGGCGATTTTATGGGTGAAATCTTATGTGGATATACCTGACGAACACGTTTCCATTATAAAGCATGTACATAAGTCATTATTTAATGCAAATAAAACCATGGGTGAAAAGAAACAACAACTCTGATGTTGCTATATGCGGAGCTTTGGCGGAGCTGACGTGTGTGAGCTGATTGGTTTATTTGCATACACTCACTAAGAAATTTCGTAAAGAAAACATCGGATGGATTGTACCTAGATGATGGTTTGGCACTAATTAAAAGCGGTAGATTAGCAGACAACGCAAAGAACAACCTTTGTGCCCAATTTCTTCAGTTCGGTTTGAAAATCACAGCCGGACTAAATCATCAACTGGTAAGCTTCCTCGATGTAACTATCAATCTTAAAGACGGGAGTTACTCACCATATAGGAAACCCGACAATGATCCGTTATATATAGACAAACACTCAAATCACCCACCCTCCATTACTAAACAACTATACCGGCATCAATTAACTGAAGAATTTCGTTTCTGTCATCAAGTTATAAACTAGTATTTGACTCCGTAGCCAACGTATATGACGCAGCTCTGCATAAGAGTACGTAACTCAATTGCAAGCTTGAACATTCCCTGTTCAAGCTAATCCTTCAACATGCTAATCCTTCAACAACTACAATCCAAAAACAGAAATGACAAAGAAACATCTGGTTCAACCCTCCTTTTAACAAAATGTACGTTCAAACATTGCTCGGGACTTTGTACGGCTAATTGATGAGCACTTTCCAAAAGCAAACCCCTTCACAAGGTTTTTGACCGAACAGAACAAGCCGTGTCCTGGCGAGAGCCGAGCCAATCGAAAGCTCAAGCAAATTGTGTGAATGGAAGGGTATAGTCAACAAGGCAGTGATAAAAACAAAGAAAGATCGCGAAACGAAGGAATACATCGGAATGACGGCGAACGATTTCATGAAATTGTTCAAAAACAAAAGATATGAATATGACACGGAGCTTTCCAAATACGTGTTAATGAACGCTGGGAAAGATTATGGAACCAAATGGTCAATCTTGAAAGAACTCCCCCCTCCCCCTAATCTTGAAACAAGCTTAGGCGTATTTGGCAGATGGAAAGCACTGCAGTCTATGCACTGAACAAAAACTGTACCAACAATAAAAATTTTAGCAAAGCAAATAAAACTCCCAATCGAAGATCGGAACTATTCGCAAAATGCCGCCACACAGAGAAATTTCACGCAGGAAAATTTTAGTGTGCGCGACTAACAAACGTGTCAGCAAACTGTCAGTGAGTTAAAAACTGAATTAACACATAAAAACAGTTACTTGAGGATTGCGAAACTGCATGAAACTCTGAGTAGCAACATACACTATTTTATCACATACTTGTGCCTTTATCACGGCGATAACAGGGTGACATAAAAACGATTAACGATATCGTCACTGATATCGTTTTTTGTCCCGCTATATTTGTCGCTGTCAAAACAAAGGTTGCTGTTTTGTCGATGTTGACAACTTTAATATCGAAGTATAAAATGATAATACAAAACGAAAAACCAAAAGGGACCAACTGCTTTGCAAAGATAAGTTATTCTGTTACAAAGGCAGAAGTATGTGATAAACAGGTTGTCATAATCGGGGTTGAGGGAATATCTGTTTTATTGCTTTCAGGACGACATCATAAATGTCCCTCATTCGCTGCGCTCACTCATGACATTTACGATAGCGTCCCTAAAGTTACAAAACTGATATATGCCCTCACTCCTATATATATACTCTATAACTTTTTCAACTGAAGTTATGAATAATTTTATGCATTTAGATATTCATATTGTAGTATAATGAGACTTTTTACTGATGTAATTTAACCTAAAGGTTACAAATCGGTACTTTATTAAATTAAATTATTAATATATATATATATATATATATATATATATATATATATATATATATATATATATATATATAGCGAAAGTTCTCCGGAATGATAATAACTTTTATTGTGCTTTCGACTTGGTACTTCGAGTCTTCATCAGAATTATTTTACAATTAATGAGTTTGTTGTTTGCGTTCTTGTATACATCAGGAGCGTCTGATCAACAATAAAAAAATTTAAAAAAACAGATGCTCCCGATGTACACGTGAACGCAAACAACAGCGCAAAATTTCAAACTTATTAATTGTATAATTAATAATTCTGATGCACACTTGAAGCACCGAGTCAAAAGTTCTATAAAAGTTATTATTAATCCGGAGAACTTTCACAAATTATAATATGCCTGATTACAAATATTTAAAAGGTGTCCCAAAATAAACTTGCGCTGTTTGATTTAATCTAACGTAAAAACTATAAAAGTTATTACACTCAAATAAGTTTTATTGTATTCAGAAATAGCTAACTTAGATTTTGATATATAACATTTGAACGTCCGTGCAACATTGAGACATTAGTCTGTAAAGGCAATTCTCCATTGCAGTCGCTTTGCCCGCGCGGGCGGAGCGGGCTTTGAAAATCTGCTCACGCGGGCGTGACGATCGTCAAAAACAATAAACGCTTCGCCCGCGCGGGCAAAGCGGGCGTTAATGAAAACGGCCTTAATTAAGTCTGGTCATTGACTGCTCGAGCTATCGATGTTTCAACCTTGTTCGTGTCGGCTGGTCACGTGCCTCGTCCAAATTTAGCGCCTGAGGAGGTGTGGGGAAAGTATCAAATTACAAACAGTTAAAAACAATGCGAATTATTAAAGAGGCTGTCAAGTCCGTTCTGCTCATGCGCCTGTTTTGTTTACATTTTTTGTCATAATTTAATTAAAATTCTGATCTGTAGGTCTCCAAGTTAGCTCATTACGCATTCAGAATATATCACGAAGGAGAAATTGAACTACTGAAGCAAAAATTTAGCCCCAAAACAACAAATTTTAGATCGAAAACGCTAAGAAGCGCTTCTTGCAGAGGTATGGACAAAATTTTATTGAAATTTGTACACATTTAGCTCCAAAATGACAAATTTAAGATTGAAAATTATAAAGATGTGTTTCTTGACATTTTGAATCTTGAATTTGTCATTTTGGAGCTGAATGTGTACAAATTTCAATCAAATTTTGTCCATACCTCTGTAAGAAGTGCTTCTTAGCGTTTTCGATCAAAAATTTGTTGTTTTGGGGCTAAATTTTTGTTT